GGAGGCCAAAGTGTCTCCCCAGGCCCACGAAGACCATGGGCTCCCTCCCTGAGTGTGATCAAATCTGAGGAGGTGGCTGGACTCCAAATTTGATTCTGAGCCAGCGGAAGACCACGTCCTTGAACCCCAGGGGCGTCTCTGGGGACTCACTTTTCCTCGAGGGAAGATGAAGGATGACAGCAGGTCCGGCTCTTCCCCGCTGCCCAGAGCTGTATCACCCCAGAGGAAAGCGAGCGCCCTCCACCCTGTGGCCTCGGCCACTGTTGGGTGTCCCCCCGGCTGCGGCTGGCCCCGAGCTGACACAGAAAACACGTTCCCAGGCCAGAAATCTCTTTTTTTTCGTTCTGAGATTTTATTTAAAATGAAGTTAGTGAACACACAGTGCAATATAGGTTTTAGGAGGAGGATTCAGGGATTTATTACTGACATGTAACACCCAGTGCTCATCACAGAAAGGGCCCTCGATCAGGCCCGTGCCCCCACCCACCTCCACCCACCCCCCCAGGAGGACCAGTCCCTTCAGACCCAGACAGAGGACTAGGTGGCTGGGAGAGTCGCCCTGGAGGACTTGGGGGTGGAGCTCTCCCTGGCATTTGTTCTACAGGCTCCCTTCCTGCCTCTCCCAGGGGCCAGTGAGCTCTCTGGGTGAGGGCACCCACTTTATCCCTATGAAATTAATTAACTCCCATTTTCAGAACATACTTACCATGGGCTATGTTCCAATCACAACAGAGGAAAAGCCTCTGCTTTCCTGACCCTCGTTGTGGTGGCGGAAGGGATGCGCAGGGCACCAGTCAGCACACACCGGTGGGGGAACGAGACAACCCCTCTCTCTGGGGAGACATCCCAGATGAACTGCTGGAGGACCACCGAGTGCATGGGGCGGCCGAGGCTACATCTCCTTAGAGGTTAGGAAAGGTCAGTCTTGGAAGAGGCAGAATTTGCAGTGAGGCTCCAGATTGGGAAGGGGCCCTAATCCTAATTAAAACCTAACCCTACCACCTAACCCTAACCCTAACCCTAACCCTAATCTTAACCCCTAAAACCTAACCCTAACCCTAACCCTAACCCCTAACACCTAACCCTAACCCTAACCTTAACCCCTAAACTTAACCCTAACCCCTAACCCTAACCCTACCCTAACCCCTAACACTAACTCTAAACCTAATCCCTAAACCTAACCCTAACCCCTAACCCTAACACTAACCCTAACCCCTAACCCTAACCCCTATCCTTAACCTTAACCCCTAACCCTAACCCCTAACCCTAACCCTAACCCTAACCCCTAACCCTAACTCTAACCCTAACCCTAACCCTAACCCCTAACTCTATCCCCTAACCCTAACCCTACCCTAACCCTAACCCTAACCCTAACGCACAGGGAAGAGCGCTCCAGGCAGGAGAGATGCCAAGAGCAAAGCCTAGCATGGAAACGGGATTTGCCCAAAGAACAGAGAGTTCTTTAGGTCCCTGGACCTTCAGCTTCGTGAGCCAGGGGGTGGGGTGAGGTGTCCCTCTGCTCCCGGAAATTCCTGCGTTCAGTTTAACTCCGGGGGCACTGAGGAAGGAGTCAATGCCCAATAGTGGGTGTGATATTCTCTTTTCCTAAAGAGAGATTTCATCATTTCCATGGGATCTTCCAAGAGACCTACGATCCCCCCTTCCCCGAGGGATAGTAATCCTTGGCTTCGAGGCAGAAGAGCAGGCCCGGCTCCTTCCGAGAGATGCACTTTGCAGCCACGCACAGTGTTTAATTCTTCCACAAGACGCGGGATGACTCAGGAGAGGAGTTCAAACCATCAGCCTTGAGGAGGACAAGGCTGGGCCTTGGAGCGTGGTCTGCGAATCTTAGGGAGCAGACAACTTTAAGTGTCCCCCAAAACGTGGATACAAAGAAAGGTGTCGGGACGGGGGGGTTCCCAGGCACCTGGGCCGTGACTTAGATAAGAAATTCAAGACTTTGCAAGGACTTCTTCCTCTCCTTTACACAAATGTGCCTAAAAGGTTTCCTAAATCTAAGTGTGACATAAAGACGGCTGAAATCCCCTACAGCTATGCCCCCCAAGCCCCCTAACCTGGCGCCCCAAGGGGCTCCCCGTCCTGGAGATCCCCTCTTCCCTGCACCAGGGAGTCGTACCAGGGAGACATGAAAGCTGACGCTCACTTTTGCTGAACTCATTTCTGGGCTGGCCCCACCCGCTGCGCGCCCCACATCCCTCCTGCCCAAATCACCCAGAAGATGTGCGGATTCGATTTGGAATGACTTGGACTTGTTAATTAACCTAAACAGTCACATTCGTCTGCAAGGTGCATTATTGTTAATTAAAGCTGCGATTCTCCTTGTGCCCAGACGGCGGGCTGCTGTTGTCAGAATAATTAGATAGCGTGCGATGGTTTTCATGCAAATCCCTGGCAATTAGAGCCAGCGAGGAATTGGGTTTGAAATCCCAGTGAAGTTTTCAATCAGAATCCCCCAGAGGGCCGCCTCTGGGCAAAGGCGATGATGGGGCTGGGGCGGGCGGTCGGGGACTCAGGACTGGGAGAAAGGGTGCGAGGCCGGTGCGGTTCCTCCAACCCTGGAAGGAGCCCGGCCTGGGACAAGCGAAGTGCGGGCATCGCTGTGCCGCTCGGTCTTCCCCGAGCAGTGGGGGTGCCCCTCCGGGACGCGGCGTGCGCCCAGCGCTGACCCCCTGCTCCCGTCTCTAGGGGGTCCTTCCTGCGGCGGGAAGGCCCCATCGCTCATACGCAGCTAGCAGCCCTGCCCACCTGAACATGACATCCGGAAGGATTGTAGGGAACCAGGAGCTGGGTTCCTCCGGGGTTGCTGGAGAGATGCCAGAGTGAGGGAGGCTGGCGGCAGGCGGCGACTGGGTTAGATGGCCTGGGGTGACAGCCTGGGGTGGCAGGTCCCTGGGAAAGCCTTGAAGGACCGGCCGAGGTCAGGATGAGGTCTAGAAGCCTCCCCACCCCCCAGTGCAGTAGGCAGCGCCCACGGGGCCCTGGGGAAAGAGTGGGGCCAAGTGACAGGGCAGGGATGGGATGGGCAGGAGATAAGCCCCCGAGGCTGCCCAACCGCCGGCCTCTTATCAGCCACCGGCTTCTGCTTTGGCCTTTGCTTGGTGACAGACGCGATAGGGGGCTCTCTGGGCTTCGCTCCAGCAGAACCCCATGGGCACTGTTTGCATCTGGGGGCCTGGGCTGGGGCTGGCGTGCAGCCGCGGGGGCCTGGGGTGCAGCCCAGAGCCTCGGGGTGACCCTGGAGGGTGCAGGACGGAGAGCACCGGGCGCAACGCTCAGCCAGGCCAGCGGGCACGCAGGGGGGGTTCGGGGTGCCCTGGAGGATGGGAGGGGCGGGGTGCCGGGGTCCCTGAGAGTCAACCCCCCAGACAGGCCAGCGGGCACGCAGGGGGGTGGGGGTGGGGGCGCCCGGGAGGATGGGAGGTGGCGGGTGTGGGGCTGGGGGCGTCCCTGGGAGTCTCACACACACTCACACACTCCCCCCCCCCCCCCCCCCCGCCAGCCGCCTTCGCGAACCAACTGCCCTCGAGGCCTTGGCATAATTCAGGGTCGTGTATTGTCTCTTTTCCCCTGGTTCTCCCACCTGTCCTCGGGGTGCTCCGGGGGCTCCAGGGGCCCCACATCCCGCCTTGCAGCTTGGGGCGCACCAATCAGCCCGGCCCCGGGGTTGCTAGGAGACGGGAGGTGGGGCCGGAGGCTCCGCCCACGGGCACTGGCCCTGCCCCAGTCCAGGGATGTGTCCCGGGAAGCCACCCAGGCCATGCCCTTCCCGCTTCCCGCTTCCCGAGCTGCCAGCTGGGCTGGGGGAGGCCCCAACCCCGGGGGCGCTGGCCTGGGCACCGGAGTCGTCGGTGGGAACAGATGTCCCCGCCGTGTCCTTCCAGCCACGACCCACCCTTGCAGAGAAAGCCTCCGGGATCACGATGCAGCCTGAGAGGCAGGGGATGTGGGGAGGAGGCGCCCAGGGCAGGGGTACCCGTGGTGCCAAAGGTGGAGGGACAGATTTGTCCCCGGGGGAAAGCCTTACTTCGCGAGGAGCTGGGGTTCAAAGGGGCGACGGGGGGGGGGGGTTGCAAGTAGAAGATGCACCAGATCGGCCCCTCCCCTTGAAGCGCCCCAAGCCTCCCAACTCCTTGAGACTCCTTGAGTTTTCGTTCCCTGTCCGCATCCCACACACACACAGGGAAGACTGGGCCGGGGAAAGGAAACCTATCGGGTGAGGAGTGAGTCGTAAATCCCGAAACCACATCCCGAGAGCAAGGATGGAGAGTGGGGCGAGGCGGAGGGAGGGTCTGTGAGAGGGCACAGCCGGCTTGCAGGTGCCCGGGGACCGAGGCAGAGGCGGTGCGTGTGGACGAGGCCTCAAGGGCACGCAGCCAGCGTGGATGCGGGTCCCAACAGGTGGAGCCGGACAGACGCACACACGCACGTGCATACACATACATGCACAAGGCCTAGGGGCCTGCCGAAGCCTCGCGGACAGGACTCCTAGGAAGGGGCTTTTGGACTTAGGTTGACCCGCTCCCTGTAAGGGGGTTCCCGGGGATGCCCCCTCCCCGACCTCTAAGCAAAGCCAACAGGTGTTGGGGACCTGGAAGGCGGAGAGCAAGGCCGGAGGGGCCAGACCGGGCCCATGCTCTGGGCTCTTCTCTCTTTTCTGCTTTTCTCTCTCTGGTTTCTATTCCTGTTTCATCTGCCTTCTGGAGCAGCTTGTCTTCCTTCTTCATCTCTTCTAGTTTTTCAGGTGTGGCTACTCCCCTTATACCCTGCTGGCCCTGCACTTCCCCTTCGAGATGGCAGGGACCCCCTCCCTCTAGAGAACATCTGTGTGCCCTGAACAAGTTTGTCCATCGTCTGCTCCCTCCCCAGACCAGCTAGAGGAACAGACGCCCGCAGGGACGCGTGGCCTGAAATGTCTCTCTCTCTCCATTCTCCTTCCTCTCCCCTACGTCCCCGGATAAAATAAGAAACCACCAGCTTCATAAAAGCGGCATAGACTTTAATGCAGGTTGACAGGTGGGGAGAGAGCTAGGACTTGCCTCCCTGGGTGTGCAGAGGAGACGGCTGTCTTACTGGGAGAGGCAGGGAGGGCAGGGCTGTGCGAGCGGCCTGGTGGTAGAACAGGGCCAGGAGCAGGGGTGTGGCCACACAGTGCAGGATGGCCAGGGCTTCCGCCAGGTGCTGCAGCAGGTCCAGGGCCTGTTGGGCCAGGCATGTGGACAGTACCAAGGTCTTGGACCTCACCAGAAAGTCCAACCCCTGAGTCACCCCGTGAGGCCACCAGAAAACAAACCAGGCCCACAGGACATTAACCCAGGGACAGGGCCACCTGCCCAACGTCTTCGTCAGCACCTTGGCTCCTAACAAACCTAGTGGCAACACGGTGAAGAAGGCAAAACAGACCAGAACGTGCAAGATCTGCAGAGACCGGTAGCCCTTGCTGAAGGACAGGGAGCAGAATCCGCGGGAAGTGTCACTGGCTAGGGTGACCGGCAGCCCCAGGAGGACAGCCATGGCCCAAAGGCCCACACTGAGCCTCAGGGTGAGGTGCGGGACCCGGCCGGCACGCAACTTGGGGCCCAGGCAGGCGTGGCACCCTATCAGCAGAGCCTGGGCCAAGGCTGAGCTGTACCAGACCAGGTGGGCCAGGTGGCACAGGGCTGCGCTCTGGACGCTGTTCAGGCCCGGTGCCAGGATGGGCACCACCACACTGAAGAGAGTGCTGCCCACCGCCAGCTGCACCAGGACGGGCCGGTCGGGGCAGACCTGCCAGTGGAAGAGAGGCCTGAGGAGTGCGAAGAGGACCACTCCCCCGGCGAGGATGCCCAGGGTGCTGGCGACGATGAAGAAGGGCAGCGAGGAGGCGTCCAGGAGGCCACAGGAGCGGCAGGGGGCAGCGGCGTCCATGCCGCTGTAGTTGTAGTTCAGCTCATAGGACTCATTAAAGTCTTCCCAGATGTCGTCCTTGAAGATGAGGTCCGTAGAGGCCTCATCCGCCGCCTGGAGGACAGTCCCAGAGGGGACAGACAGGTCACCCGCTTACCCCACTGAAGAGCCCCTGGGGAGGAGGGGAGGCTGGCCCGGAGGAGTGGGCGCGGCAGGGACCGCGGGGCAGCACCGCCAGGGGCCCTGGGAGCCTGAGCGGGAAGAGCGGGGACGGGGCTGGACCAGACTCTGATTGCCGGACAGGCTCGGGGCGTGGGCGCCAGGGGCCTGCGTGGAAGTACAAGGACCATGATGGGGACCCAGGGCACCAGAGGGAAGGGGAGAGGCACGGCGGTGCGGAGGCCCAGGGGCAGACGGAAGAGGGGGCGCGGCCCCGCACCTACCTGCTGCTGCAGACAGTTCCCCATGGCCCGGGAGCTCAGGGCAGGCCCAGGGCTGTGAGCGTCCTGCCGGTGGCTGCGGCTCCGAGATAAGTGCCGGGGGCTAATGAAGGCCACCAGTTCTGGGCAGGGCCCTGGGACCGGCGGGGGGAGCCGGGCATTCAGGAAGCCTTCGCCCCACGCCCATGGCCTGCCCACGCCTCGGCCCACGAGGGGGCACCAGCCCCGCGCTTCCTGTTTGCGACGGATTCCTGGGGGGACCTGCCCTCGGGAAAGGAAGAAGGCAGCCAGCAAGAGCGTCTGTTTTCCCCAAAGGTGGAAAGGAAGGCCCCAGGGCCTGGGGGGTTTCCAGCAAGGACGGAATCTTCAAGCAGGAGGAAGGAAGGGAGGCCAGGGGTGACTTGTGAGACAGAGATAAGCGCGGTGCTGGGAAGGCGGAGGGAAGGGGCCACGGGACTCTCATGGAGTCTTCATCCCCTTGAACTGGATCCAAGGAGAGGGAGCTCCAGGGCAACCTGTCTGCGGGAGCGGGTGCGAGGGGGCCTGAGGCCGCCGCGTGTGTGGCTGTGCGTCCTGTGCACACCCCCCAGGGCCAGGGGGGGCGGGTGTCCGGGGGGGGGGGCTGGGGGCAGCCGCGGAGGCTGCATAATGAAGCTCCCCCAGGAGCCGTCGGGCGCCGTCTAGCTGCCCAGGGGCGCAGGGCAAGCATTTTCCGGACTGCGCACAGCATGGGGCCTGCGTGAAGCAGGCTCAGGGGGACCATGGGACAGCACACTTTGACTTGGGCCGGCGGCCTGCAGGGTACAGCGCGCTCGCGTGTCCGTTGGGAGACAGAAAGGCCGTGGGGCTCTCCACCTGCCTGGCATCTCGGCCCTCCGCCTCCTTCAGGGCCGGGGCCCTCTGGCTGCGTGGGCCCCGGGCCAACGCCTCTGCTCTTCTGGGGCCCCTTGCCCTCCCTCCCGGTCTCTCTGCTTCTCTGTGATGTCTGCTGTTACTCCCAGGGGTGGGGGAACCCCCAGGGCTTTGGGAGGAGCCGGTGAGGGGACACGGCTTCATGCCCACGAGGCATGGGGCGTTGTCCACTTGGTTCACCAAGACACTGTCCCGCCCTTATGCAGGGGTGCACGGGCCGGGACGCACAGACACACGAGGCGCGGCCCCCGTAATCCAGGGTCCAGCTCCAGGGTCGGGTTCAATGTGAGCAAGCGAGTGACACAGTGGCTCTGGGGGGCGGGGGGCTGCCCTGCAGCGGGGTCGGCCGTGTCTCTGCCTCCATCTCCATGGGCTCAGCCAGCACAGGGCAGCAGGGCGCGGGCAGGTGCCCCCCATCCCAAACACGCTGCTAAAAGTGAGGACCCGGACGAAGGGGGTGACCCCCTTCTCTCCCCGAGCGTGGGGGGGGGTTCTGTGGTTTCCCAACAGAGATGCCCTTGGGAGAGGGGGTGGCAAGGTGCGCAGCAGGTGCGCGGATGCCAGGCGGGGGCGAGACATGCACACGGCCCACGGGGGCAAGAGCAGCAAGAAGGAGGCAGCCGGACGACACGGATAATCCAGATATATTGAGGGTGGCCCCTCTGAGATTAGCACAGGAGAGTTAGAAAGATTATAAAGATACACGACCCCCTCCCTGCTCCCCCCACAGACAGACGCACACAGCACAACGCCCCGCCCCCGCCCCCGTACAAATATGGCTTCTGTGTAATATGGACAGAGTGGTTCAGCTCAGAGAGGAAAGGTCGTTTTCCCAAAAGCGGGTGCTGGGAGACAGGGAGCCACCAGGCCAGGGGCCCTTGCTGCCTTACTGCTGTGGGGGAGCCGGGCTGAGGTGGGGGGGCCTGGGGTGCCCAAGGGCCCTCCGCAGCGGCCTGGAGACCCATGAGGGTGTTACCTGAACTGAGAGGTGGTGGGCGGGCGGGGAGGACGTGCTGGGGGGGGGGTGAGCAGCCCTGGGAGGGGGGGCAACCTTGTTTCCACGGCAACGAAGGAAGACAAAATCATAGGCAGGGACGGAGGTGGGATAGACGGAGGTGTGGCGCCCCGCCCCGCCCTGCCGTCCAGGGGGCACCCAGCCCTGCCATCCAGGGTGCGCAGCCCTGCCGCCCAGGGTACACCCAAGCCCTGCTGTCCAGGGAGCACCCAGCCCTGCCGCCCACGGTGCACCCAAGCCCTGCTGTCCATGGAGCGCCAAGCTCTGCCGCCCAGGGTGCCTAACCCTGCCATCCAGGGAGCACCCAGCCCTGCCGCCCAGGGCGCACACTATGGGGAAGGCAGGGACGCAGCCCTCCCGGGGTCAGCGCCACGGACAGGCCTGAGGGGTGCATAGCAAACACTGCAGCACTGACTCCATGGCTCTGAGCAGGGAAATCGAGGCACGGGCGGATGCTCTGTGTTTTCGGGAGAGACGAGGTGGTCAGCTGAGCAAAACACGTCTGAGGACTGTCTCTTGCACGATGGGCGGGCGGGAGCCACAGCACTGGGGAGGTAGGCAGCCCGGCCAGGAGCCCGCGCCCCAAGCCCTCCTGTGCCCCTCCCCCCCTCCCCCCGCAGGCCCAGGCCCTCCCTCTGGTCGCACACACACGTGCACATACACACAGACACCAGCACGGACACGGTACCCACGCACTCACACGGTTCACATTACTCCCCTCGTTTGGGCAGGAAACAGCTCAGCGCAGTGAAGCTCTGTTTAGTATTTTTGTTGTTATGTCTGCCTGGCTGCTGAGGGGTTGGACGGGGTCGGGACGGGGTCGGGGCACGGGCAGCACGAGATGGGACGAGCAGATGCCGTGCGACGGTGGGGCTGACGGGAGCCAGGGCCGCTGGAGCTCGGAGGGGCTGCCTGGCTCTGCTGCCCGCCCAGGGCCTGGCTTCCTCTGCTGCGGGGCGCGGGGGTCACGGCAACGTCCCAAGCCCGCCAGCCTTCCCCGGCAGGGCGACCCTGCTCAGGGGCCTGCGTCCTCCTGGGGTGGAAGCCTTGGGCCCCTGCGTGGCTGCCTTCCAGCTGCAGGTGGCACGGCCTCCGGGCCCCGCAGGTGGCAGAAGAGGGGGGACAGGGAGGCGCATAGCTCCAGGTGAGGGGCTAGCAGAGGGGACGCCCCCTCCAGCCTCTGCTCACGACCTCCCCGTTCCCCCACATTCCCCCAGAAGGCCAGGAAGCCGCTCTGTGGTCGAGGCTGGGGGGCTGGTGAGGGCCCCCCACGCCCGCCCGGCTCCCGACCTCACCCCTCCGCCCTGGCTCTCCTCCTAACGCTCCAGGGGTTTTTGCTTTCCTCTCCCAGGGCCCCTGCCCCTCCAGCCTGGAGACGAATTTGATTTGGGATTGTTATAAAAATAATAATAACCCAAACGCAGAGAAGCCACGGAAAGGGCTGAGGGCAACCCTCCCTCCCTCCCGCCCTCCTCCCTCCCCATTCCAAACCGAGTACAAAACCGCACCCAAAGCAGACATTCTGTACAGGGGGGTCGGGGGGGCTGGGGAGCAAGCGGGAGGGGCGGCCCAGGGGTCGCTCTGTACAAGTCCAGGTTGGTGATGGCCCCAGCAGTGCCCGCGGGCCCCTGGGGGACGTAGCAGGTGGCTGGGCGCCTCTAGATGAAATATTCCTTCTTGTCGTCCCCGCCCGACTGCCCGCCTTCTGCATTGATGATGGCCGTGTCTGCGTCTGGGGCGTCGTCGGAGCCTTTGGCCTCGTGTGTCAGGTAGGTTCCTGGGGATGCACAAGCACCTCCTGTCATGGCCCGCCCCTCGGAGGCCCCGCCCCAGAAGGCCCCGCCCATCAGGAGCACCGCCCCTCGGAACCGGAACCCAACCCCGGGGAGGTCTACACCTCTCCGAGGCCCCGCTCCTCGGAGGCCTCGCCCCTCGGAGGCCCCGCCCCTCCATAGTCACCTGCCCCCTCCGAATACCCCGCCCCTCGGAGGCCCCGCCCCTCGGAGGCCCCGCCCCCAGAAGACCCCGCCCATCGGAAGCATGGGGCCCCTAGGAACCCCACCCCCCTAGAAGCACCGCCCCTGGGAGGCCCCGCCCCTGGGGGCCCGGCCCCTCTGAAGGCCCCGCCCCTCCAAAGACCCTGCCCCTCAGAGGCCCCGTCCCTCGGAAGGCCCCACCCGGCCCACCACACCTGCTCCCGCCAGGAGCTTGCCTCCTCCCCAGGGACCCAATCTGCATCTTGGGGCCAGCATCCATCACCTGGCACACCTCATGGATGAATGAATGACTGCTGCCCTTAATTAGACTCCCATGTATGAAGCAGGGAAAAAAAAATCTGTGTATGTGTGCATCTGTGCATGTGTATACACACGTGTACATATGAGTATAGATGCACCTGTGTGTGTTCTGCATGTGCGTACATGCACGTGTGCGTGTCACGTATGTGTAGATGTACCTGTGTATATGTGTACATGTGAGTACATACACGCACGTGTGTGCTCACAGGCATGTGTGTGCACCTGTGTGCATGTCTGCACCTGGGTGTATAAGCATGTATGTGCACCTGTGTATGTGTGTGCATCTGCGTATGTGCACACATGAGGAGTACATGTGCCCATAGGCGTGTATGTGTCTGTGTGCGCATGTGTGTATGTGTGTGTACAGGAAGACAATGAACCCATGATCCTGCCAATGACGACGTGGTACGTGCAGGGGCATGAGGGCACCGGGCTGGGAGTATATGCATGTGCCTGTGTGTGTACATGTGTGCCTTCCTATGAGCATATGTGCCCACGCGCACACACACCCTAGATGGGGACGGGGAAGCTGCTGGTCAGCCCCTGAGCGGGCCACTGAGACCCGGGCGAGAGCGTCTGTGAGGAGAGCAGGCAGGCAGCATGCAGGAGAGGAGAGGGCTGGTGGGGACAAGGGGCCAGGGGATCAAAGGACAAAGAGTTGAGAAAGGAAGCGGGGCAGGAAGCGGTGGGACCAAGTGGCCGTGGGGCAGGTCGCTGCCTAAGGCAGGAGCCCCCGGAGCCAGAGAGGTGATCGCCAGCGATGGGGCGCAGGGCGGGCTGGGGGGGGGCCTCCACGCGGCGCTGGCTCCCGCTCCCTCCCCCACACCTAAGAGCCAACCCGGGCTCCAGGCTCCCCGCGGCCTCTGACCTTTGTGCCGGATCAAGTAGTGGCCCAGGAAGATGAGCAGGATGAGCAGCAGGAAGACGATGAACGCCACGATCCCGCCGATGATGGCGTGGTAGGTGCTGGAGGACGAGGGCACCGGGCTGGGGTCTGCAGGGAGGGGGCACAGTCAGACCTGGGCTGCCCTGTCTTAGGGCGCCTCCGGCCTGGCGGGGACCACAGGGCCGCGGGGAGGGCCGGCAGGCAGAGGGACGGGCCTTCCGTGTACCCCGCGTTCTCACGCGGCGTCGGCAACAGTCATCGTTAGAAACAAAACCACGTAGCCGAAGAAAATGGGCAAATCTGCCTACACTGGGCCCTTTAACCTGTGCCTGCGGCAGTGAAGCTTGGGTCAAAGTTCATCCCTCTGACACCCACGTCGCCTCCCGTCCTTGTACTTTCAGGGCTTGCAGACTACTCCTTCCGGGTCCCCAGGCCCATTTGCCATTCAGAGCTGGCCTCTCCGGGGTGGGGGGCGCCCCAACCTATTCCCCGTCTCCCCAAGACCAGAAGCGGGGGGCAATGAAACCCCAATGAAACCAAGAATCGGGAACCCGGATGGCACCTCACAGAAGGTCGTGCACTGTGGACGCCAGGTAAAGAGCAGTGCTGCTTCTTGGCGGAGGAGTTTGGGCTTCCAACTAAATCCCAGTCCTCCGGGATGCGTCCTCCAGGAGGCCTGGGCTCCAGCTTCATGTAAGCCCCACCATCCAGAGGTTTGTGGGCAACGCAGAGACGCCCTCCATGGGTGCCTCCACCCCCCTCCCACCCACTCTGTGCTTCCTCCCGGAGGAAGCGGAGACGTCCGATGAGAACCCGCCCCCTACGGCGGCACCTATGGGGGCTGGATGCTCAGAGGGCACGCCGGGCCAGGCGTGCCAAGGACAGCACCAGCCTCGTCGGGGTCCCAAATGTCCGAGGAGACAGTGCCCAGGCCCAGGACACGGTCCCGATGTGTCCAAAATCACATTAGCCGGAGCCGTGACTCTCCCACCCACGGGAGCACTACTGTTTTCCCACAGACTCAGCTCGAGTCCTGATGCCTCACCGACTCCTTATATATTTTGTCGTTCCTACCTTATGTCTCCTCAAGATTGACTGGGCCAGCTTTTTGGTTCCTTGCCTGTCTACGCCTAATTTGAAAAGAAAACATTTATGTTCTGGTTTTTTTATGCTCCGCTTGGGCGGGAGGGAGAGGGTGGGCCTGGGGGCGCCGTGATACGATGGGGTGGCTGTGAGGGTGTCACATGGGAAGAAGCAGGGGGAGGTCACCCCCATCCTTCTCCCAGGCTGTAGGTGACACACAGTCCACATTATAAAAATAAATAAATCATCCTGGATAATTGTTCCAGGGGCTCTGCAGACAGAAATGCCTTAGAAGAACGCGGCTTCCCATGGCCCCAATGACCTCTGGGGTCCTTCTCTGTTGGAACTCCGTTTTTATTCCTTCCAGGCCGGTGGGATCAGGACTGCTTAGCAGACTCCTGGAAGGAGGTGCACGACCTCCTCC